GTAAGTTGAGTCAGGGTTTTGTGTTACTTGCAGTCAAAATGAGCTGGGTACAGTTGAATTTTCCTGCATTACTAGCTATTTGGGAGCCTGAGGCAGGAGGATCACTTCAGCTGAGGAGTTCAAGGCCAGCCTGGACAACATAGTGAGACCCATCTCTTAAAAAAATAATAATAAATTCAAGTCACAGACAGATGAGAAGGCAATAATAATAATAATAATTATTATTATTATTAAATGAATATAAAAGCTATAGAGATGGAAAAGACATGTTCTGGGTTCTGCAAGGCAAAAATTGAGATCCAGAGGCCAAATCATACTATACTACGGACTTTAGCTTCCACATGGGATACAAATGGCTGGTAAACATATAAAAAACTCAGCCTCACTATTAAAGATAAATGCACTTTGAAACTACAATGAGATGTCATTTTTTACCTTCAGATTGACAAAGATCAAAAAGCTTCATTCTATCCAATATTGTCAAGAGGAAACCCGCACACCCATTTGTTACTGATGTGATGGTAACTGGCATAAATCTATGGATGGCAATTTGGCAACAACTTTCAAAGCAAAAATGCACTTGACCCAACAATTCGAGTTTTAGGTATTTATCCTACAGATGCAGTTGGATGTATGAAAAATGACCTGCACAAGGATGCTAGTTACAGCATTGTTTGTAAAAGCAAATTGGCTAACAACTATTTAATCATTCATTAATAAGGGAGTGATAAAATAATTATATTTATACTGAGTTATATGCCACCATTAAAAGGAACGAAACAATTCTATACTTATTGATATGGAACTATATCAAATAAATATTGTCAATCAAGAAAAGCAGTATGTTAAACAATACGGAATGGTATGCTACTAATTTTTTTTTTTTTGAGACATAATTTCACTCTGTGGCTCAGGCTGGAGTGCAGTGTCATAATCTCAGCTCACTGCAACCTCCACCTCCCGAGTTCAAGCCAGTATGCTACTATTTATGTATATAGGGAAGAATATTTGAAAATGCATAAGCCACATTTGGAATAATCACAAGAAACTGATAGCATCAGGTGCCCTAAGGAAGGGAATTAAGTGGATGGAAGTCAGAGGAGAAAGGGAGATTGACTTCCACTGTATACCTATACATACCTTCTGAATTTTGTGCCATGTACACACATTGTGTAATCAAAATAATTCATTAATAGAAGGAGGAGCTAATTCCCCCAAATAAAAGAATATCTTAATTGGAAACGTTACAAGCTATTAAGCTCAAGAGAAATCATTTGATTTTTTCTATAAATGCAAAAATGGCATTTAATATTCAATATACATTCATTTTTAAATGTTAGTAGAGATAGAATGAGTCTCCTTAATAAAGAGTACCTAATATTGGACATCATATTAAATTATGACTTTTGTATAAGCCATTGTCAGTCCTTAAAGATCACAATAACTTGCCTCCAGAAAAAACTAGAAAGAAAGCTAATCTCAAAATTAAATTAGTAAGATCCTCACACCACAAATGTGATTAGCTACATATTTGAAGGTAAATCGAAAGATTGTAATTTGTGACTGACAAGATTAAGAAGAGACAGTATTCCAGTCCAGGTGTTCTGGGAGTAATTTCAGGGAGGAAGGAGAAGAACATAACAGTAATGCTGCCAACAGAAGCTTGAACCCTGGTTAGAAAAAGACCTAGTGCATGATGGTGAATCAGTCAACCCAGCAAACACATCAGTGCCCCTAAACATGGCTAAGGGTGTTGGGGTCTCTTTGCTAAGCAGACTTCCATGTATACTTCTAGCCTTGAATAGCCAGAACTTGCCTTAGTTGGGAGATAATTCTTGAAATTAGCTCACCCCTTGGTCTGATTTCATGTTTCCTAAGCATCTCTGGATAATCTGGTTGTCTCTGAGGCTTATGTAAGGAGGGAACATATAACAGTGAGGCTGACTAGAGCATTCTAGTCCACTCAAAGATTGTATTTTTTTTTTTTTTTTTTTTTTTTTTCGAGACGGAGTTTCGCTCTTGTTACCCAGGCTGGAGTGCAATGGCGCCATCTCGGCTCACCGCAACCTCCGCCTCCTGGGTTCAGGCAATTCTCCTGCCTCAGCCTCCTGAGTAGCTGGGATTACAGGCACGCACCACCATGCCCAGCTAATGTTTTGTATTTTTAGTAGAGACGGGGTTTCACCGTGTTGACCAGGATGGTCTCGATCTCTTGACCTCGTGATCCACCCGCCTCGGCCTCCCAAAGTGCTGGGATTACAGGCTTGAGCCACCGCGCCCGGCCTCAAAGATTGTATTTTAACTGTAAACTGCTAAACTGCAAAGTCCCATTCTAGTTTCAGAGGATGTCCCCCAATCCCCACCACTATCTCCCACCCTGGAATCAGCTGAGGTCCCCGTTGTTCCATTGTAGGCCAGCTTGTTACAGGTGTGTCTTCTGTTAAAAAAAAAAAAAAAACCCTCTGCAGACGACTCTCCATCTCTGAGTTTGTTTCTATGGCACCCAGTCTAAGATACTATGTATGCAGGCAAACATATATACATACATTTATTTATAAAGAAATCTATAAAACCTTCTCTTTTTTTTTTTCTTTTTGAGATGGAGTCTCACCCTGTTGCCCAGGCTGGAGTACAATGGAACAATCTTGGCTCACTGCAAACTTCGCCGCCTGAGTTCAAGTAATTCTCCTGCCTCAGCCTCCCAAGTAGCTGGGATTACAGGCATGAGCTACCATACCTGGCTAATTTTTGTATTTTTAGTAGAAATGGGGTTTCACCATTCTGGTCAGGCTGGGAAATCTATAAAGCCTTCTATGTGATGGCCAGGTACAGTGGCTCATACCTGTAATCCCAGCTACTCAGGAGGCTGAGGCAGGAGAATTGCTTGAACCTGGGAGGTGGAGGTTGCAGTGAGCCAAGATCCAGCCTAGGCAACAAGAGCAAAACTCCATCTCAAAATAAATAAATAAATAAAAAACACTTCTATGTTGTCTGAAAAGATGTGAATGAATGGAAAAATAGAAGTTCCTGGATGGGAAACCTAAATATTACATAAATATGTGTTTCCTAAAATTTAAGTGATAGATTTAGCAGAATCTTGGTAAAAATCCCAGAAGGATGTTTTTAAACATATGACAAAAGAAAGGAGGAAAAGGAAAATTCTAAATAGGCAAGAAAGAAAACAGGCCTGGTGCAGTGACTCACACCTGTAATCTCAGCACTTTGGGAGGCCGAGGTGAGAGGGTTGCTTGAGGCCACAGGTTCGAGCCTGCAGTAAGCCATGATTACACCAATGCACTCCAGCCTGGATAACAGAGCGAGACCCTGACTCAAACAAAAAAAAGAGGAAAAAAGAAAACCTGTTGCGGAGGGAAATGAGAGACAGTGAACAAGATCTATCAAAATAAAAACCTATTAAAAAATAAAATAAAATAAAATATTGAAGTCTTTCATTTTGTAGTGAGAGATGGGGTCTCACTATGTACCCAGGCTGATCTCAAACTCCTGGCCTCAAGCAATCTCCCACCTTAGCCTCAAAAAGTGCTGAAATTACAGGCATGAGCCACCACACCAGTATTGAAGTCTTAATTTAAGAACAGACAGGAATATGGTAAGATTTGTGAACTGAATAAAAACAAGAATAGACAGGCCAGGTGCAGTGACTCACACCTGTAATCCCAGCACTTTGAGACACTGAGGAGGGAGGATCACGAGGCCAGGAGTTCAAGACTAGCCTGGTCAACATGGTGAAATCCTGTCTCTACCAAAAATACAAGAAATTAGCCATGCGTGGTGGCACGCACCTGTAATCCCAGCTACTTGGGAGGCTGAGGCAGGGGAATCACTTGAACCGAGGAGGTGGAGGTTGGAATGAGCCAAGATTGCACCACTGCACTCCAGCCTGGGCAATAGAGTCAGACTCAGTTTCAAAAAAAAAAAGAATAGACAGATTTCCAGAATATAATAGTATAATAGAAAGATCAGATCAAATATATATACACCCTGATATGGTTTGGCTCTGTGTCCCCACCCAAATCTCATGTAGAACTGTAGAAGTGTAATTCCCGATGTTGGGAGAGGGATGTGTCCCCACCCAAATCTCATGTTAAATTGTAATTTCCAATGTTGGGAAAGGGATTTGGTGGGAGGTGACTGGATCATAGGAGTGGATTTCCTCTATGCTGTTCTCATGATAGTAAGTGAATTCTCACGAGATCTGATGGTTTTAAAGTGTGTGGCACTTCCTCCCTGGCTTGCTCAGTCTCTCCTGCTCCACCAGGGGAAAATGTGCGTTGCTTCCCCTTTACCTTCTGCCATAATTTTAAGTTTCCTCAGGCCTCCCAGTAATGCCTCCTGTTAAGCTCGTGAAACTCTGAGTCAATTAAACCTCTTTTCATAAATAACCCAGTCTTAGATAGTTCTTTATAGCAGTGTGAAAATGGACTAATAGGCCAGGTGCAGTGGCTTATGCTTGTAATCCCAGCACTTTGGGAGACCAAGGTGGGTGGATCATGAGGTCAGGAGTTCAAGACGAGCCTGGCCAACCACAGTGAAACCCTGTCTCTACTAAAAATACAAAAATTAGCTGGGCATGGTAGCAGGCACCTGTAATCCCAGCTACTTGGGAGGCTGAGGCAGGAGAATCCCTTGAACCTAGGAGGCAGAGGTTGCAATGAGCCAAGGTTGTGCCACTGCACTCCAGCCTGGGTGACAGAGCTAGACTCCGTCTTAAAAAAAAAAAAGAAAAGAAAATGGACTAATACACTCCCTAATTATTACAACAATTTTAGTGTATGATAAAGCTATCATGATACAATGAAATGAACAAATATTTTTCTTTTTCTTTTCTTTTTTTTTTTTTATTTTGAGACAAAGTCTCGCGGTCACCCAGGCTGGAGTGCAGTGGCGCAATCTCAGCTCACTAAAACCCCTACCTCCCAGGTTCAAGCAATTCTCCAGACTAAGCCTCCCAAGTAGCTCGGATTACAAGCATTCAATACCACCCCCGGCTAATTTCTCTATGTTTAGTAGATATGGTGTTTCTTCATGTTGGCCAGACTGGTCTTGAACTCCTGACCTCAGGTGATCCACCCGCCTCGGCCTCACAAAGTGCTGGGATTACAGATGTGAGTCACCATGCCTGGTCAAATATTTTCAATAAATGATGGAGGGATAACTGACCAACAATTTGAGAGGGAAGGAAAGAATTTAGATCCACACCTTATACTATACATTAAAATTAATTTTGTTTGATTTAAAATCTTAAAAACCTTTAATACTATGAAGTCCAGAAGAAAACAGAATTAAAAATTTGTCAAAACTGTAGTGGGAAGGTGACTCTATAATTAGAAGCAATATACTGTTTCTTATACTACAAGCAATTAGTATTGCTTATGGTATAGCAATATAGTATATACTACACAGAAAATATTAAAATTCTTAACGACATAAAGATTTCTTTAAATAAATTTTATATGCAACCTATCACCAGAATTAACAATAAACAACATACCAGGGGGTATATTTACAACAAACATGACCAAAAAAGATTAATATCATTGCTATGTCAAGAACTCAGATAAGTTGGTAAGAATCCATTAAGATCTCAGCTGGTAACTGAACAAAATCTAACAAAAAAATTCACAAAAGAACAAATATTAACAAACATATAAAAAGAATCAATTTTACTAATTATCAAAGAGAAGCAAATTAAAAAAGCATGGTATTTTTTCACTAAATTAATTGAATTAACTTTATTAAATGAACACCTTTACTAAATTAATCCCTGCCAAATTAAAATGGAAATCCCCAAATCTGAAACCAGTAATATCAGGACCTGTATTCCTTGGGTAGTATCATACATTTATGTAACCAATTAGGAAAGTAATTAGGAAAGTCCTAAAAATGTTTATACCCTTTGACCTAATAAATCTCTTTGGAGAACGAATCCAGAGCAGAGCAGCAGAAGCCTGAACCCAATGCCAAACTCAGTTTCATCCTTTCATGCCTTCCCTGAATTAGGCCTTCCCAGACCCTATGCCTGTGCTGGCCAACACAGCAGCCACGGTCCACATGCACCCCTGTTTCCCCAACAAGGTAATAAACTCCATAAGAGGTACCCTGTCAATCTTGTTTCCTGCAGAATCCGAGATCTTAGAACAGTGCCTGGCACACAGTAGGCATCAACAAATACTTGTTGAATAAGTTTATGAATGAATGTCAAGTTATTCCACCAATCTTCCCCAAATATGCTTTGAGCTTTCTTGTCTCTAAGAAAGCCTTGCCTCTGCTGGGTGTGGTGGTTCATGCCTGTAATCCAAGCACTTTGGAGGCCAAGGCAGGTGGATCACCTGAGGTCGGGAGTTCAAGACCAGCCTGACGAACATGGTGAAACCCGTCTTAAAAAAAAAAAGTCTTGCCTCAAAATGTGTTTGTTTTTGCCTTCTTCCTATCCAGAATCTTTATTACTTATCTAAAATGATGTACTTTGCACTTCACGTACAAACTGCCCAACTCAAAAGCATTTCATGATAAGGAGATTTTTTAATCTTACAAAGAAGTTCAGAAGTTGTGCACTTCCAGGATTGGGTATTTGGGTGGCTCATCGGTGTTCTCCAGGAACCATCCTTGTCCACCTTTTTTCTCTGCCACCCTGCCGCTGTTGCCTTTAGCCTCCCCTTTATGTTTGCAAGATAGTTCAAGCTCTATGTCCTTAATAACATCTCAAGTACAAAGTACCCTGCTTCCTTTTGAAGACTTAGAGATTTTCCCAGACATCCCTTCTGCAGAGTTCCCTTTTATGTTCCATTGTTCAGAACTATAGTATATGCCCATTATTTTTTATTTATTTTATTTATTTTATTTTATTTTATTTTATTTATTTTATTTTATTTTTAGAGATAGGGTCCCAGTCTGTGGCCCAGGCTAGAGTGCAGTGGCTCAATCATAGCTCACTGCAGTGTCAAACTCCTGAGCCCAAGCAGTTCTCCCACCTCAGCCTCCTTCGTAGCTGGGACTAACGATACACACCACCACACCCTGCTTATTTTGTTTTTTAGTTTTGTAGTAAGGAGGGCTAACTATATTGTCCAGGCTGGTCTCAAGCAATCCTCCCATCATGACCTCTCAAAATATGGGGATTACAGGCATGAGCCACTGTGCCCAGGCCAATACATGTCCATTTTAAAACCAGCCCATTTTTTTTTTTTTTTTTGAGACGGAGTTTCGCTCTTGTTACCCAGGCTGGAGTGCAATGGCGCGATCTCGGCTCACCGCAATCTCCGCCTCCCAGGTTCAGGCAATTCTCCTGCCTCAGCCTCCTGAGTAGCTGGGATTACAGGCACGCGCCACCATGCCCAGCTAATTTTTGTATTTTTAGTAGAGGCGAGGTTTCACCTTGTTGACCAGGATGGTCTCAATCTCTTGACCTCGTGATCCACCCGCCTCGGCCTCCCACAGTGCTGGGATTACAGGCTTGAGCCACCGCGCCCGGCCTAAAACCAGCCCATTTTTAAACCACTGGCAAGAGTACAGAATTTCATGATTGGCCTAAAGTATCCAGATTCACATTCCTTGGGCTGGCTGAGTCCCCCATCGCAGGGCCCCAGGTTGATGTAATTTAAAGAAGTGGGAATTGGGTAGGAGGCTGCGGTCCAGAAAAATAAAATGGTCTCAGAATAAGCCCTTGAGACTTTTTATAAGTTACATAATCCAAATCTTGGGTCTTTCATTAATCCTTCCCTTATTATCTTAACCAGAAGCAGCCTGTCCCGCCTATGAATTTAAAACCTTGAGTTCGGGCCAAAAACATTGCAATCATTCTTGATTTCTCTCTTTATATCGTAAATCATAACCCTGTATCTCATCCGTCTTGTCTACTCTACCGTCATTATATATCAGAACCTGACCTCATCTCACCACCCTTAATCCTGTCTCTCTGGTCCAAGCCACCATCAGCACCATCTCACCTCGGATCATTGCAGCACCCTTCTCACTGGCCTCAGGGCTCTCCTTGTGCACAGAGTGATCCTTCCAAGTTGTGAGTCCACTCATGTCAGCACCGCTCTGCTCAAAACCCTCCAATGGCTTCAGAATAAAATCCAAAGTCCTTCCCACCACCCACAGGGCCCTCAGTGATCTGCTGTCACCTCTCTCACATCACCTCCTGTCCAGTCTCCTGCTCACTACCTTCCAGACCTGCTTGTTCTTAGAACTCAGCAAGCACACTTCTTCCTGAAGGCCTTCGTGCTTGCTGCTCGCCTTGCTTAGAAAATTCTTCACAGACTCAGATGACTCACTCACTCCTTCCTCAGGTTTTGACTCAACGGTCTCCTTACCAGAGAGGTCTTCTCTGATCTCTCATCTAAAAAAACCACATTCCCTTAACCATGTCTCTCTACCCTCCCTAATCTGCTTCATTTTCCTTCAAATTACTTCTCTCTTTTTTTTTTTCTTTTCTTTTTTTTTCCCAGGCAGTGCTGAAGAAACAAATTACTTCTCACAAGTTGATGTATTATACATATTTATTTGCTCACACGCTGTCTTGTCTCATTACAACTTGAGACCCATGAAGCCAGGGGTTTTATCTGTTTTGCTCCCTGTTTCTGAGACAGCCAAGTATAAAGGGGTCCCCTGAGAAACTCAGACTGGCCTGCACACTGGGGGAATGGGGTGGAGTTGCAGAAGTTCACGCCCTTTGCAGCAGGGAGGAAGCTGGCCTCTCCTGACCCAGGGTAGTACCTGGGATTCAATCTGTGAGGCAGGAAAAGATTCAACCTGTGAGGCTGAGAGTCCAGCTAGCCGGACTCTGACTTTGCTGAGTCCCTGTTTCCATTTATTTTCCTTTTTGCCCAATAAGTTCCATTTTTCTCACCCTCCAAAGTGTCTTCAAGCTTAATCTCTCATGGCTGTGTGACAAGAGCCCTGCTTTGAGCTGAACTAAAGAGAAAGTCCTATCACAGTTTAGCCTCAGGGCTTACAACCAAACATAGAATATAATGAGTGCTCCACATATATTTGTTGAATAATTAGGTATTCCTTCAGCCTTTATCATCATCTGTTTCCCATGGTCTCTAGCTGTTATCTTTACACACATCCTGTCTCTTCAACAGGAACATACGATTCTTAAAGGCCAGGGCTGAGTCTTTTTTTTTTTTTTTTTTTTTAATAGAGACGGGTTTCACCGTGTTGGTCAGGCTGTTCTTGAACTCCTGACCTCAGGTGATCCGCCCGCCTTGGCCTCCAGAGTGCTTGGATTACAGGCATGAGCCACCACGCCCAGCCCAGAGCTGAGTCTTAAAGCTCAAGACCTTACATAAAGAGGGCACTCCAAAGTGTATGTTATTGACACTGGGAAGGAGGATACATCAGGGCAGTAACAGTTGTATGTTACCTCACCCGCTCTCGGCAGGACCCTGAGAAGCTGACATATGAGACACAACAGCATATTTAGGGGAGAGTGTCAGGCTTAGGATTCTGCCCCAGAGGAGGGACCAATTTGAGTTCTTGAACAGGAGGAAGGAGGCATCTCTCTGATACTAAAAGGAGAATACAGGAGCACCTTTCCCACCCACATTTCCCCTAGAACGAGTCTTTCCACTTGGAAGTTTGTTTACAATTCCCTGTTCTTTGCAACCGAATGGGGCCTCACCCTCATTAATTGGTGGCAAAGGTCACTACTTAACAGATGCTAAACAGAAGCAGAGCAAAGTCAAGGGTGGCTAAGGTCGAGTCATTGCTCAAATTTAGGAAGGAAACTCCAGGTCCCAGCCCCTAGCGTGAGGTGGGGCCCCAGGAGGGCAGCTGAGCCCCGAGAGAGCCGCTCCCTTCATGCCCCGTGCTCTAGTTTCTGCACAGTTCTACGGAAATTCAGCAGCAAGGCCGTTTACCAGACACAAAGGAACCAGGCCACTTTCAAATGTCGATGGCATTACACTTGCCAGAGGAGAAAGGGACAAATGAGGAGACTGAAGACGGTGCTTTCAAGAAAAGAAGAAAAAGATATTGAATGTGCACTCACTAAGCCGAAAAAGCAAATGCCAGGAAGAACCGTGAGCCTCGTTTGAAGCCAAGTCTGCACAGCAGAGTCCCAGGTGTAGGGGAGGAGGAGCGGAGGTGGTCTGAGGACGCACAGCGAACGCCCTGTGGGGGTGGGGCGGGAGGAGAGGGACGTATTTTAAGCAACCTTAAAAGACTTGTTTTAGCATTCCGCAGGAAATGAAAAGCAGATGTGTTGGTTTGGAACTTGTTTACGTATTTGGCCTCTGAGAAGCTTCCAGGGCAGTTAGGACTGGAGAGAAGGGGTATTTTAGGCAAATGCTATAGTCTCCACTCTGAGAGTGGGTCCCTTCTTCATTGGCTCACCTCCCTCTTGAGAAACAACCATTTAGGCTGAAAGACCCTCAATGTCCCTGTCTAAGGCAGGTCTGGCTAGAATAAACAGGCATCTGATATGCAGAACTGATCTCCTGTACCTTCTTACAGAAGCTAAGGGTTGCTGCACCTTCTCTCTTG